CTTAACCCTGTTTGCCTCAGTTTCCTCATCTGTAAAATGAGCTGGAGAAGGAAACGGCAAACCACTCCAGTATCTTTGCCAAGAAAACCCCAAATGGGGTCATGAAATGTTGAACACAACTGAAAAATGACTGAACAATAACTTATCAGGCATTGTGCTAAATCTTGCACATGAAGAAAAGCAAAAATATCTTCCCTGACCTCAAGGAGCTTACATTCTAATGGGGAAGACAACATATAAACAACTATGTGCATACAAGATATACATACGGTAAGTAGAAAGAAATCTCAGAGGGACACCCTGGATCTCCAGGGCCCATAGGTGCTGTCCGTTTTCCCCAAGCAAACTTTGAAAATAGAAAATAGCTACTGTGACTTGTTCTATTTTTATCTCCCTAACACTCATGGAGGGAGGAGAGACCCAGAGACACCATGAGACTCATACTGCAGTGGAGAAGAAAAGTATGATGAGGGAATGAGAAACTCAATTGGGGTACACCCCATGGGGAGGAGGAGAGGACAGAAGGAGAGGAAATGGACCACCTGTTTCATCTAATTACTCCTGCTAATACCAGGAGGCAGGCTCTTCTGCCTGATGTGGGATTGCAGTTACTGGCAGCACCCTCTCTATTTCTCTGCCCTAGACCTGCCATAGATACTTGGGGTGGGGGGAGAAGTAGGAATATTGATACCTAGACATCAGATTCTGGGGTTGAGAGGAAAGACCTGGAACTGTGACAGTGATAGGATGATTGCATTGAAGAGAGTAGTTACAAATCCAAGGAACTGGACTTCCTTGATGGCCCCATGCCAAGAGGGCATATCTGGGAACCAAGCTAGACAGCTGGGTCAGAAAGCTCTGCCAGAGAAGGACTTGGCAACAGTAAGCCAACTCCCCAGAGATGTTGGGTGAGGTTGACTTTGCCAGTGACGTAGAAATAGATGACCCTCCTCACCCCCATCTTGGACATCTGGAGTTTAGGGCCAGCCAAGGAGAAGCTGCCACCAGGATGCCTGGGAAACCTTGCCTGAGATGAAGAATGGACAAACAGTCCATGGGACCCCAGTTCTAAGGACAATGCTAGGCAATATTGGAGATCCCTGAGGGATCTTTGGGCCACTGCCCCTCCATGGGTATGAGTGGTCAGGGGGGCAGTCACAACCATTGTAGTGTGGTGAGGGAGTCTATTTCAACACTTATGACTATGATGAAAGGAGGCATGGAACCATGGGTCAAGAGCTGGCCTAGAAGCCAGAAGGACCTGAGTTCAAGTCCCAACACTGATATATACCGGCAGTGTAGAACTGGGCAGGTGACACAACCTGTCACTGTTCTAATCAACTCCCCAAGACTAGCTGTAGACGAGGTGCTGCCTTATATTGGTAGAAAGAGTTTTTTCAACCAGAAGATCCCTAGACCAATGAAATCACAGGCCCATTCCCTCTTCTCTGACTGTGACATGGAAGTGATACGGGTTGGGGCAGAATGAATGCTAACTTTTCCCTGCTAAAGGCTCTGGAGAGCAAGCTCTGTTCACTTTGGGAAAATGAATATGTGAACTAAGTTGAGTGTTCAGACCTCATTAGTAGTGCTGCTGATGATTGGGGAGTTTTAATTCTGTGTTTTGTTTTCTTTTGTGTAAGGTGTGTGTTGACTGCGTAGGTTATATATATATTCATATGGGTTGCCTAAACGCAGCTCACTGGGAGGCATGGATAGATATCTCTGGAATCTTGCCCACCCCTCTATAAGGGAGTCTGTGATTTCTGCCTAAAAGGGGAGTAGAGGAAGTGGCCATTAGACAGGCTTTCTCATCTGAGAGAGAAGTACAGGACTAAAATTGTGTGTGTGTGTGTACACACATATACACATACATATACTCACCTAAATACTTCTGGTTTAGGAACATGATTTTTTAAAGTTCAAAACCAAACCAAACCAGAAAAGCCTCCATCTCCCCTAGTCACTATTCCTTGAAGGGGGAGGGTACTCCAAGATTGCACCTGCAGATTGACTCCCACAAAATGCTAATTGCACAGACCATCGCAAATCGTGAATAGTGAGTGAATCCATTTATCCAAGTAGATGGTAAGCAGATAGGTATGTATAAGATAAGTAAGATAAGTAAGCAGATAGAAGAGGTGATGCAGATTAGAATATACCGGGAGAATACACAAGGGTGAATGGGAATTTTAGATGAATCAAATTGTCTTCTATGAGAGCTAGGTGGTGCCATAGCGCATAGAGCACTGGGCCTGGGGTCAGGAAGACATCCTCATGAGTTCACATCTGGCTCAGACACTTACTAGCTGTGTGACCCTGGGCAAGTCACTTAAGCCTGTTGGCCTCAGTTTCCTTGACCGTAAAATGAGCTGGAGAAGGAAATGACATACCACCCCAATATCTTTGCCAAGGAAACTCCAAATGGAGTCACAGAGTCAGCACAACTGAAACAAGTCAACAATAACAACAACAAATTGCATAACTCTCTGAATTGTGAAATTGGTTTGGGATTACTTGGGAGGTAGGGAGAGAGAGGAATTCACAGGCTCATCTAGAATTTTAGAAACAAGGCCCTTTGTCACTCATCTAAGGTTTGAGTGGGGGGAGCTGTGATGTTCAGTGTGCAGAAGATAAGGGGGCATATAAAGACTTGTCTTGTGGAAGAAGAATTAGTTTTACTCTGATTGTCTATGGAGGGCAAAACTTGGAGCAGTAGGAAGAATATGAAGAGAGGCAGATTTCGGCTCCATGTCAGCAAAAACTCGGTGACAGACAGAGCTGTCCCAAAGTGGAATGGGCAGCCTTGGGAAGTGGTGGGTTTCCCTTCTTTTGGAGTAAAGGTTGGAGGATCACATATCAAGGACATTGATCTGGGGAGCTGGCTGACCAACGCGTGTGGGATTTGGGGAAGTAGCCCCAGAAAGGGGAGCTGCATCAGTGTTGAAGAAGAAATAGCTGTCCAGGCAGCTGGTATCTTCTGAGATTGCTACCAGCTCAGAGTTTTCCTTAGAACCTCAGAACATTCCAAAGCCTCCTAAACGAGCATCACTACCTGGATAGTCATCTCATTTTATGACTCAGGGTGGCCAGGTAATGCTGCGGTTAGTGCATGATTCCTTTCTTACTCAGCTCAATCGAACAAATATAGATCAAGCACCTCTAATGTGTCAGGCAGCATTCAGCAAACATTTACTGAGCGCTTATTACGTGCCAAGCCCTGGGGGTACACAGACCAAAATGAAACAGTCCCTGCCCTTGTGGGGGTTTCCATTCTAATGCTGAAGATGACATATCCACAAATAAGTACTGTACCAGGAAACTTGAGGAAGGAGACAGCACTGCTGGGCCTGGGGGGAGGGGAAGGAGGGGAGGGGGGTAGGAATACAGACAAAACTTCACAGAGGAGGTGGTACCTGAGCTGAGCCTTGAGAGGCAGAAACGAAGGAGGGAGGGAGGGAGCTTCCTGGGGTCAAGGTATGCAATCAGGAAATGTCCAGCTCAAGTTCAGGAGACAGCTGGCCACCCAGGACTTGGCATTCTCAAGGGAAGTAAAGTAGAAAATGAGGCCGGGGATGCACTGGTAAGTGTTGATCCATCTGTTTTATTAACACTTTCCCAAGACTGAACAATAAACAAAACAGTAAGTCAAGACCTTAGCATTTGATAATATCCAAGGTGTAAATGCTCACAGTGAAAATTTAGCAATGAGGTGGAATCCTTGAATAAAACTGAAAAAAAGAAGTGGTGGGATCTCTATTCTTTTTTTTTTTTTGAGGTAATTGGGGTTAAGTGACTTGCCCAAGGTCACCCAACTAGTAAGTGTCTAAGGCCGAATTTGAATTCAGATTCTCCTCACTCCAAGGGTGGTGCTCTATCCACTGTGCCACCTAGCTGGGATCTCTATTCTGAAAAGCCCAGAGACCCGGTTTCAAATTCCTGCTTCTGATGCTTACTACCTGTGTGACCTTGGGCTCATCTCCTCATATCCCTCCCTGTGTGACCTCATCTCCCTAGACCTCAGTCTCCCCATCTGTAAAATGAGGAGGTTGGACCCACAGGCCCCTGCCAAGGTCTGTTCTAACTCTAGGGACCTCTGGAAGATGGGGGGGCCACTGAAGATTTTTCAGTCTATTCTTACGGGGTTATGAGAAACAGGTTCTGAAAATCACAGGCGCACGACAATTTCTCTGTCAGAGCCTGCTTGGATCAGGATATCCTGAGTTTGAGTCATACCCTGCTACCTGTGAGATCCTGAGGAAGTCATTTGCCTTCTCAGGGCCCCAGGCAACTGTCTAAGACTGTAATGGTGCTGTTCAGTCATTTCTGACTCTCCATGACCCAATTTGGGGTTTTCTTGGCAGGGATACTGGAGTGGTTTGCCATTTCCTTTTCCAGCTCATTTTACAGTTGAGGAAACTGAGGCCAACAGGGCTAAGTGACTTGCCCAGGGTCACACAGCTAGTAAGTGTCCGAGGCCAGATTTGAACTCAAGAGGATGAGTCTCCCTGACTCCAGGCCCAGCGCCCTGCGCACTATGGCGCCCCCTAGCTGCCCTGCAAAAAGAAAAGAAGTTTCCACACAGGGAGTTCCCCATAGCAATAAGATCATAGTCCTGGCCCCAAAACAACAACCCCAACTCAACCAGCTGCTATTTCTACAGCTCCTTCTTCCCAGCCCCACGAGGATAGGTATTGCAAGCATTATGAGCTTCATACAGACGAGGAAACTGAAGTCTAAAGTCAGTGTCAGAGCAGATGCTGGAGCCTAGACCCAACGGTCTGACCGTCACCCACCGTGCGTGCTGCCTCTGGCGGTGAAACTGCTGTCTGGCAGGGATTTTCAGAAATAAGCCTCATAACCTCATAATCATAGACCAAAACACCTTCAGGGGCTCTCCCTCTTCCAGAGGATTGGAGTGCTGGAGGCAGGGTCAGGAGGCCTGGTGCCCAGGTTCAGCGCTGTTTCCTTACCTATATCCTCTGTGTTCTAAATCCCAGGACCTAAATTATGACCAAAGCAACTCCCCCAGGAGACAACTCCTTGGCTGACAGCAGGTAAGCTCCCTGAGGGCAGGGATGGTTTGGGTTTTTCCTCTCTGGGTACCCAACGTCTAGCATGTTGTATGGCATATAGTTGGGCAGCTGGGTGGTGCAATGGATAGAGTGCCAGGCCTGGAGTCAGGGAGATCTGAGTTCAAATCTAAACCCAGACACTTACTAGGTGTGTGACCCTGGGCAACTGTTTGTCTCAGTTTCCTCAACTGTAAAATGAGCTGGAGAAGAAAATGGCAAACCACTCCATTATCTCTGCCAAGAAAACCCCAAATGGAGACATGAAGAGTCAGACATGACAGAAACAACAGAACAACAATGGCACACAGTAGGTGCTTAATAAATGCTGGTTGAGAATGAACAATCAACCTGAGTCTGACTCAGTTCTCCTTTCTAACACTCAGTTTTCTTCTTACAGTTGCGTGTGAGCTGTTATGATGAGGGAATGACTTAACAGGAATGCGGTCAGATTAAACTCTCCATGCGTGTTTCCTCATCTGGAAATAAGCCATTCTTAGGCCCGGAAAGAGTGGGAGTCTCGGCTCCCTGCCAGACTGGATCGTTAAGGGGCCAATCAGAGCGATTGCTGGAGGACTGCCCGGCACAGGCCTGAGGGTGTTGTTGTAAGACTCTTTATTCTCAGGCTCCCCTCTCTCCCCTTGGTCTTTGCGTCTGCCCTCCCAGGGAGGATGCCCAGCCCCTGCTCCCTCGTGCATAGGCAGGACCCCAGGGTCCCTGTTCCTACACAGAGTTTATTTCATCACTTGGCTGAAGCTCCTACTGGCCATTTCTGCCCGAAGCCATTCCCCTCTGGGTGTTCTGATTGGCTGGAGACCCTCAGCCTGGAAATGGATCCTTTCTCCCTGTGACCAAACTGTCCCACAAGGCACTTTGGGCTGGGATATCTCAATTGTGCCACCTTTGTGGCCCGAGGAGAACATTTAACTTCCCTGAGACTCGGTTTCCTCACCTGTAAAATGGGAATCCATTCCACAGGGTTCATGGGTTGACCTTTCAGAGCTGGCAATTTGATTCAATAATCCAATTCACACGTATTGAGCACCTACTATGTGTCAGGCACTGAACTAAAACCTGGGGATACAAAGAAAGGTAAAAGACAGTCCCTGCCCTCAAAGAGTTTATAATCTAATGACCTAGATCATCTAATCCAACCTCTTTGTTTTTTACAGATGAAGAAACTGAGGCCTAGAGATATAAAATGACTTACCCAAAGTGGCCAGAGATGAGATTTGGACCCAGGGTTTCTTGCCTCATACCAGGGCAGTTAGGTGGTGCAGTGGATAGAGCAGCCAGGTCTGGAGTCAGGAAGACCTGAGTTCAAATCCACCCTCAGATGCTTCCTAGCTGTGTGACCCTGCACAAGTCACTTAACCCTGTTTGCCTCAGTTTCCTCATCTGTACAATGAGCTGGAGAAGGAAATGGCAAACCACTCCAGTATCTCTGCCAAGAAAACCCCAAAGAGACGGACGTGACTGAAACGATGAAACCATGACGACAATCAGCTACTGAGATCCGAATGATATAAAAGGAGTGACTGATTCTCAGCTCTAACGGGGAGGTGAGCAAATAGTGCTTTGCAAGCCTTTGAAGCCCTTGGGGAAACATAGAAATAGAAGGCGAAATGATGTAGCTGCAGCTGGCAGGAAGTTCTAGAGGTACCCTCTGTGTGGCTGTGGTGGGATTCAAACCCAGCTCCTCCTCACTCCTAGGCCAACCCTCCACCCACCATCCGCATGGGCCTCTCCCAGCTCCCTGGCTCCAGAGGGCTGGACTCAGTTTCTCCCACGTCTGTAGCACAGAAATGTGACTTACAAACTATGACAAGGCACTAATGAGTGCCCGATCTGGCCCTAGGCTTCCCTCCTTGACCCTCAGTTTCTTCCTCTGTAAGATGCTGAATTGAGCAGGCATGTGGCTAGGATAAAGGTCCCTTATGCTCTTCCTATCCCCTTCCCCTATGTGGACCTAAGCTTTCCCCCTCTGTACAAGGGGTCGCTTTCTTCTAAGACTTGGAGACAAGAGAACTAATCGTTAATTACCGCCACTACCCCGGGCTCTCCCAAAGCTATTCTGAGATTGAAATACCACCATGAGTCACCAGAGGCTGAAGAGATGTTAGAGCCCACCACCCCACCCCGTTCAACAACCCCCTTCTTTGTACAGAAGACCCGGGTCCGCGCAATCGGCGCCTTCTCCCAGTGGTGCTGAGCGGCAAGCCGAGTCGGGGCAGAGAAGGTGGGCAGAGGGGGTAATCCAGGGTCAGAGTTTGGAAAGGCCTGGGCAGCCAAGGCCGGGGATTCAAAGGATTCAAACTCCATTCAAACGGATTCAAGGGCCGAGGACACGGAAATGCCGAGCACTCAGACTTGGACAGGAAGAGCAGGATTTTGGGGGGTGGGAGGCGAGGACGGACCAGAAGGGATACGGGAGGGGCAAGGCACTGCTCGAGATGAAGAGACCGCCAGAGGCACTTGGGGGTTTGGGATTGAGGAAGTGGCGAGAGCAAGGGGGATGCCCCTCTCTGCGTGTGGTTGAGGCGGTGGGAAGGTGCAGCTCGTGGGCGCTGAGGAGGTCGGTGTGTTTGAGGGGACCGCGGTGAGCCGGCTGTGGCGCTCCTTGGGAGAAAAGGGATAGAGATGGACGCGGTGGACTTTGCGGGGTGGAAAGTTGCTGAGAACAGGGTGAAGAGTGGTAGGGAGGGGCAAGGAGTGGTCTTCTGGGGGATTGCATGGAGATGGAAGGACGGTGGCAGGAAGGCTAATGGCTGTTGGACTAAGGAGGCCCCGGAGCCCAATGGAAGGGGAGGGATGGGCTGAGGGAGGTGGGGTTGGGGAGGCCGGTTCCTTTTTTGTCAGGCTTCTATGTCTCCAGATCCCGGGGGCTCAGGACGGCAGGCTGAAGCAGTTTTCATCTATGCATTTTCATGTCACACTTATTTTCCCCTTCCCTACTCTTTGAGCCATCCCTCATGCCTGAACTCTTTCCACACGTGCCACATGACCAGTCAGAGAAACCTCAGTCCCGGAGCCTTCCTGTCTTGGGTGGTGAGCCAGCTTCCTGGGACCACCACTCCCTCGAGGAAGCGAGACCCCTCTGTCGGGCTTTACCTCATGTCCCTCCGAATCCCCTTCCCCTGTCTCTTGTCGGCTCTCCACAGCCATCTCCCTAACACCTTTCACTCCCCTTTTCTGGGATGTCTGCCTCTATTATGGAAGCTCTTTGAGGGCAGGAACTTGGTGCTTGTATCCTCAGAGCGTAGCACAGCACCCAGCACGTTGGAAACACTTAATAAATATACCTATCTGGCAGCTAGGTGGCGTCATAGTTCACAGACCGCTAGGCCCGGAGTCAGGAAGACTCGTCTTCCCCAGTTCAAATCTGGCCTCAGACACTTCCTAGCTGTGTGACCCTGGGCAAGTCACTTAGCCCTGTTTACCTCAGTTTCCTCATCCGTAAAATGACAAACCACTCCAGCATCTTTGCCAAGAAAACCCCAACCGGGACCATGAAGAGTTGGACACAACTGAAAAACAACCGAACAATAAAAATCAATCAATCAATCTATCTATTCCTTGTAATAAAGAATTGGAGAAAAAAACTTGTTAGCAAAACTAGCCAATGTGTCAACTGAGATATGTTGAGTCTGGGAGTATATGTGTAGGGTCACACACCCATAGTCCCCTACAACTCCTCAAAGAGGGAAAAGTATACTTCCTTGTCTCTGGCAGCTAGATGGCCTAGTCAATCAAGTACTGGACCTAGAGACAGGAGAGACGAATTCAAATCCAACTTCATTTACTAGCTGTGTGATTGTGAGCAAGTCACTCCACCTCGGCCCGCCTCAGTTTCCTCATTTGTAAAACAAGGATAATAACTCCCGGGATTGTCATGAGGATCTATTTGGAAGGAGCTTTGCAAACCACCAAGCATTCCCTAAGTGCCAGCTGTTATCATAGTCTGGCTGGGGTGTCATTGTTATTATTGGTAACAATGGGAATCAGAGGACCTGGGGTCCCAGAGGGGCTGCGCACAGCCTTGGGGCCATCCCTGGGGCTGACACCTGAGGGTCACAATTCCAGCAAGTTCACTTTTCTTGTTCTGGTCTTTCTGTGGATTTCCCCTCTTGTAGACCATTGTGTGTTTTTACGACCATCCCTTCAATCTGCAGGTGATTTGCCCGGGGTCAGAGAGAGCAGAGTTCAACCCTAATCGGGAGCTCTTCCCAAGCACTGAGGTCCTGGTCTCTGCCAGGTTTGACATCTCGTAGGGCATGGGTCCTTACTCTTTGTTGGCAGTGTGGCAAAACCCACCGACCCCTTCTCAAAACCATGCTCATTGTCTACAGCGACGCAAGGAGATGGCCACTCAGTTAAAGATCAGTGAAAGATGCAATTTTTCTTCTGCCCAAGTTCACAGACCTCTTGAAATTTATCCACAGATGATGGACCCCAGGTAGGAAGGTGCGTGGCTTGAGTTCTCCTTACCCCCTTCATTACATTTTACTTAAGGTGTCCGGCTCCCTCCAGAAAGTTAAATTCCAGGAGGGCAAGGACTGGGCCATTTTGGTCTTTGTACTCTCAGAGAAGAGCCTGGGGTCTGAGACGTGAGGAGGATGGGAGTGGGGAGAAAAGCTTAAGTGCTTCCATAATAAATCCTTCCTCCCTCCCTCCTACCTTTCCTCCCATCCTCCCTTTCTTCCCTCTCTCTTTCCTTCCTTCTTTAACATGCCCTGCCTGAGACTGCTTGAGGTGCATAGCCTTGGGCACATCCTTTCCTCTTTTTCTCCTCTGTAGAATCAGAGGTTTAGATTAGACGATCTCTCAAAGTCACCTCTGAAATGACATTGTATGTTGGGTCCCACAGCCTCCCCTAGCGCTCCTACTCCACCTTCACTCAGGAAATGTCCAGGTCATTTCCTTATGCTTTTCCCCTTTCAGTTTAAAAATACAAGCAAACAGGGGCCTGTGTGTTTGGGATATTCCTTCTTTTAAACAGTTATTGTGACAAAAAAAAAGTCCTAAACGGCTCTGGGACAGGGCTTCTGTAGCCACTGTCCAGGGAAACAACCTCAGCCTGGGAGAGAGGTGTGGCATAATTCTAGGTCTCACTGCCCAACGTGCTGTGTGAGCTTCTCTCTGGGCCTCAGTTTCCCCTCCTGTAAAATGAAGGCTCTCTGAAACCCCTTCCAGCTCTGGTATCCCCAAGTCCTAAGGTCTTTTTCAGGTCTGACATGCCCTGTTCTAAAGGCCCTCCCAACTGACATCCTGTGTTCTAAGGGCCCTCCCAGATCTGAAATACATAGCTGCCTTTCTCCTCTCCCCCCAGACCTCCCATATCCTCAGCTCTCATCACTGCAGGGATGTGACCTATGGTCTGTCAAGAATGGCGAAGGAATCAGGATGAGAGGAATTCTGGTAAGTGTCTAATTCGTGGTGTGGAGTGGGACAGTGGGATTTTGGGTCCGGATAAAGAGAGGCTGGCCATCCCTAACCTCACCCGGACCCTGGTCCTAGCATCCGAGTCATTTCAGAGGAAGAGATGGAGGGAAGTCTTTTGGAAGGTCAGTGGATGTCCAAGAGCAGGGGAGAGGGGAAGAACCTGCCTGCTCTCCCCATGATGCCCCCTTTGGGTCTGACCTGCAGCCTCACTGTCTGGGAGTTCATAGGATTATGGAATCTGTAAGTCACAGGACCTTAGGACCTAGGACTCACAGAAGAACCTTGGAGTCACAAAACCTTAAACTTATCAGCACAGAATTTTATTTTATTTTTGGTGAGGCAATTGGGGTTAAGTGACTTGCCCAAGGTCACACAGCTAGTACGCATCAAGTGTTTGGTCTGAGGCCACATTTGAACTCAGGTCGTCCTGACTTCAGGGCCGGTGCTCTATCCACTGCGCCACCTAGCTGCCCCAGCACAGAATTTTAGACATAAAATCTGAGAATCATGGAGGACCTGAGTTCAAATAAACAAAATAAAGCACTTTGTCAGGTTTGAAAGGGAAGGTCATTATTGGCCAGGGAGATCAAAGACTTCACAGAGAAGGTAGCATGTGGGTTGGATAGGACGGGTAGGAA